TTTTTTTTTTTTTCTCCGGTACCGGGAACCGAACTCACGACCTTGCGCTTGCCAGGCAGGCGCTTTTGCCGCTGAGCTAAATCCCCAGCCCAAAGCCCTCCTTTCTCACCGCGGCGCGGGGCCGGGGCCGGGTTCGGCGGCCAGAATTAGGGGATCCGTTCTCCCTTACTGGACTCCAGGTAGACAAGGCACCCAGGTGGGTGCTTCGTGTCCGCTGTGTCCTGAGAACCGTCCTCCAGTCATTTCTGGGGTCGCTGTGAGCCGGGGTTGCGGACCCGCCGGCGGCCGGCAGGACTCGGGCCTTCCTGCGCTTCTACAGCGCAGAACGGAGCTCGGGAGCAAGCGCCTGTCACAGTCGTGCTGAGAGAGCAACGCCCGCGTTACGGCCGCGCCCGGCCCGAGTCCGACTTCTGACATCGGAGTGTGCTGTCGAGGGCTGGGGTTTGGTTATACACGCCGGCCCACGGCTCCCGCGCACCCTCCGCGCCTCTGAGCAGGAGGGTCTTGTTATGCAGCTTGTGCTTGCTCCCAGGACCCCTGCCGCTTTTGGCGGTGACGAGGAAAGTCCTTGAGAGCACTTTTGGAGAAACAAAATACAGAAGGGCAAAGAGCTCAAGGAGCAGAGACCCCGCGACAGGAAGCGCTCCCGCTGAGGCACAGGCGCTGTCTGGGAAATGGGTACACGGAGCCCAGTTGCTGCGGTTTCCTTTAATTGAGGCGGTGACAATGCGTTTAAAGCCGGGGAGCCGCAGGGAGAGGCGCGAGCCCGTCACTCAGCGCGAAGGGGCATCCCTGCCTGGGTGCCGTGGCCCGAATGCACAAAGGACAGGCACCAGGGAAGGTTCTGGGAGGGTCCAGCCCAGGGGCTTTGGGACCCACCGTCATGGAGACGCCCTCGCTTCGCGGGAGCAGGCTTCTGCTCTCCGCCTCGGAGTCCTGCAGGTGCGGACCGGAGGCCGGGGCGGGAAGGGTGGAGGGGCGGGTGCGAGGAGCTGCGCTGGGGCAGGAGTCGAGGCTCGGCTCTGCTTACAGTCGGACTGGGGCGATCCCTCCGAATTTCCGGGTTGCTATTTGAAAGACACTGTGGAGTCTGCCATTACCCTCAAATGTGATTTTCCTCTGGACTAGACGGGGAGAAACTTAGTACCTCAGGATCAGAGATTTGGGTAGGGAAGTTTTGTTTCCTTAATCCTCAAACACACGCACGCGCACACACACATGCACACGCACGCACGCGCACGTGCACACACACACATGCATGCACACGAATGCATGTACACGTGCACACACACACATACGCATGCACACACGCGTGCGCCTACATATCCGTCCAGGCCCATGCAGGGCGGCTCATACAGGCAGAGGCTCTGACGATATGGGGACCAGCTGGAAGGATGGGAGCCGAGTCGGCCGGGTTAGACTCGTGCTTGGGGCGAGGCGGAAGGCTGCTTCTCCCTACGGGGCTTCCAGCCGCTTCAGGTACTCCAGGATGTCGGACTTCACCACGCTGACTGGAGCCTTGTGGAACCAGCGCATGACGGGGACCCCATCCGGCCCCACCAGGAACTTCTCAAAGTTCCAGCGGATGTCGTGGACCTTCATGGGGTCCCAGAAGAGCAGACCTGGTGACCCCAACAGTTCAGAGGTCGGAGGGCAGGAGTTCTGGAGCAGAGAAATGAAAAAGCGAGATAAGCGTGTTTCTGCTTCTCTGTGGTCCGTCTTCCCCCACCCCTCGAGGGTCTGCCCGCCAACAGATGTTGTGATACCGTCACTCAAGGTGCTTCCAGTCACGCACAGATGTCACCGAATCCTCGCCTACGCACCAGCCACCCGCCAACTGGCAGTGCACCCATAACCCTCAAGAGGAGGCACCCCGCCCCGGCCCTCCTCCTGCCAGGGCTTCTGCATCATCCAAAGACTGTCTCCTGTTTCCTGAGCAAGTCGTAGCCTCTGTGCACTTTCAACTTTGGGAGAAAAAGGATGGGTTGGCTTAAAATAGGAGTTCCTAGAATCTCAGGGGCCAGTAAAAGCTTAAGAGCCATTTTCTGAAAATGAATGTAGAATGATCAACATTCATTTTGATAAGAACAATTAAAAATTTATTAAAACCCCAAATTCAAAAACTAAAGGAATTTTTCGATAGTAGGCGTAGTTCCAGCATTAATGATAGCAGTTTTTGAGCAACGAAAATGTAATTCATACGGTATAACCTAACAATAATGATTAAAATACATTAAGGTCTTCTACATTCACTAGGTTGATACTTGTCCACCTCATCTTCTTTTCTTTTTTCAGTTTGCTGTGGGTGGGGGCAAACCTCACCTGGGCCCAGTCTTGTTCTGTGGACAGCACTCGGGACAAGTGGACACGTCTTTGTCCCTGGTATGCCGTGGCTCTGACCCTAACTGCACTCACCCTGTCTGTGTGGCTGAGTCCTTTCAGGGAGAGGCCACGTTAACCTGCTGTGGAGCACAATCACTGCACGTGCTAGGGACATAAGTAACCGCGGGTGACTGGATCGTTACACTGAGCAGGGAGGTTAGCTCTCCGCAGCAGGGCGACTATGTTAGGTGCTACCTCCATTTAAAGCAAAACCTCAGCAATGGATACTGCCACAGTCCTGCAGCTGATCTGAGAATCGCCTTCTGCAGAGGCAACTCAGCTCGAGACAGAAGCCCCAGCTTTTAGGGCACTGCCACCGGACCAGCTTGCACTCACCCACCTTCAGGAAGGTGAAGACCTTCTGTTCCTTCTCCCCGTTCACATCGCCTTTCTCAAAGAGCTGGAAGTTGGGGACAAAGCCACCGCCTGGACGCACGTATCTGCAAGGAATCAGAGTGTTCCCAAGGGGACGGATTAGAACAAGGAGGGAGGGAAGGGGCCACCAGCAACTCGCAAAAGGAAATCAGAGGCAGAGGGAGGCTGGAGACAGGGAAGGTGAGGGAGGGGGGCGCTGCAGGAGGCAGCCTCTGGGAAGTGGGTATCAGGAGCCATCAAAGACTTCCACAAAAACTGAAGGTGGTGTTCTGAGCATCGGCTCCCGATTCATTTCCATTTCCTGTATTCCCTCCTCCCACCCCGGACTTTTCCGTTGGATCCTGCCCTACTCTGACCATTAGAGAACCAAAGGGAGGGGAAGGTTTGAGCAACGCCAACGCATAGGGTGGACCCAGACCACCGCGGGGATGTCCTCCAGCCCCTTCGCCTGACACCCATCCTAGCAGTTTCCAGACGCGCGGTCTCTAGGGTCCTACACAGGTGCTCACTTGAGCCCAGGGAGGATCTCCGAGTTCTTTCCTGGTTCTTGTCTTCCAAACTGGTTACAGGGAAAGCCCAATATGACGACACCAAAACCGCGCAGCTCGTCCTGCAGTGCATTCAGTTCTGAGGGCGGAGAATGGAGAGCAGCAGGGTCAGAGCCCAGCTCGGGCCAGAGACCGGGGCTTCACCACCCATCCTGCATCAGGTGAGGGAAAGGCTCGAGAGCACAGCGGGCGGAGCAGACAACCAGTTATGGTTTGTGTCCTGTGTCCCCTCGCTCACATCGTGCGAGAGGCTGCTGGCTTTGCCTGTGATGTCTTCCAGGGCCACCTGTGTCAGACAGGCAGGCAGACAGACAGAGACAGTGGTTCCGAGGGGTGTGTATGCACTTGGGAAAGAAGCAGACTTAAAAGCCACTGCCTTAGTCCTTCTATGGAAAAGATGGCCTGAGGGCATCATAAGAAGCAGAAAGTCTCCACCCTTTGTAGCCTCAAAACTGCAAAGGTGAAAGACTTTGCTTTGAGAAGAAAGCTGCAGAGCACGGTGTTCCAGAATGGTGGCTGCGGCTGCACCAGGTTCCAGAATTGCGGCAGCATAGAGAATTTGCTCCGCAGAATTGGGTTCAGAGTGCCCAGCAATTCAGGCACTCAGCCCCTATGGCCAAGAGAGAGGAAAGCTTGGCTACTGCTCCTGGTGGCAGCAGACCATGGCATTATCCACGTGGCACTGGCTTTAGGTGCATACAGAATGCAAGAGTTCTGAGGTTTAAAAGGCTTCCACCTCGATTTCAGAAGGCCTGGGAGGCCAGGCAGTGTGCCCCTGAGAGGGCAGTGTGTAAGGCTGTGAGTGTGAAGCAAAAGGTGCCCTGGAGACCTCAGAAGGTTGCAAAAGCCAGGAACGTGGATCATCTGAGGAAAGCTGCAAGGAGGGAGCAAAGCAGGCCTAAGAGAGAAGCTGTGGGAGCTGTAACCACTGGAAGTGCTATAGGGGTGGAGTCATACAAGCCCTTTGGAGCTCACAATGTGCCACAGATTGCTTCAGATGCTGGACATGGAACTACAGGACACAAAGTTAGCCCTGCTGGATGTTAGACTTGCTGTGCTCCCAATACTCTGTATCTTCCTGTTTGTACCTTTTGGAATGCTAATGTTTATTCTGTGCCATTGAATGTTGGAAGTGTTTAACTTTTCATTTGTACAGGGGCTCACAGCTAAAAGTTTGACTTTGCCTTACATCTTGGAGAAGACTTGGGACCCGGATTTTTCAGCAATGCTGAAACTGTTAGGATTCTAGCAACTCTTGCAGATGGACTGAATGCTGTTTGTATAAAGGGTAGTGCTAGTCTTTGGGGAGCTAGGGGTGGAATGTTATGGTTTGTGTCTGGGTGTCCCCTCCAATCCTCACGCAGTCATGGGGCGGCTTCTAGAGTTATGATGGATTCATGGTCCAATGCTGGAATTATGGGTGTGAGTGCTACACCCGCCCTGGGGCAGGTAGTTTGCATACAATGTAAGGGAGGGAAAGAGGCTGCCGGCCGCCCCTCCTCCCTTTTGCTCTTGTTGCCTTTGCTGTTTTCTGCCTTTGCCCTCTGCCATGTGCCACTCTGCCTTGGAGCCAGCCAAGTATGGACTGAAACCTCCACAAACTGTGAGCTAAATAAACCTTTCCTTCCTTACTGTTGGACGCTGGGTATTTTGTCTCAGCAATGAGAGAAAAATAACTAAGACAAGGAGCTAGTGAAACCTTCTGGACTTGGAATGTGGCTGTCTGGCAATGCCAGCTCCCGGAGAGCTGGGCTTTGAGCTCCTACCAGGGTACTGGGCAGTCAGGCCTCAGTAGGTGGCCACGTTGACGAAGAGGACGTGCTTGCCCGCGTACTGCTTGAACTGGACGTACTCCTCCCCCATGAGGGTCAGGGCTCCGTACTCGTAGATGGTACCCGGCACAGCCTTGTTGCAATCCGTCTGGAACGGAACAAAAGCAGCTACAGGAAGGGAGCAGACAAACAGCAATTCCCAACTGCTGCGGAGCTTTGAAAGCACTCAAGGACTCTTCGTGGAATATTTTAAAGTTCTAAGGACTGATGAGGCCTTTTCAAGTAAACGTTGTGGTTAGAGCTGATGCCGCAGCTAGAATTTACGCCTTCTGATTTATGCGCCGTCTTGTGTGTGTGGCACAAGTACTTCCTAACACACACCTGGAGGGCGGCAGGAGTCACCTCCACCCGTCTAGACACTGCCGCCCTCTCCCCTGGCTCGCACCCCACCCCAGCCATCCTACGCCTTCCCAAATGTCCTTAGACTTTTGCAGTTTCCCACGACATAAATGAAATATACGGGAATTCCTGGTCTGTATGTCCGTTACATTCATCCCTCTCCCCATTCCTGGCCCAGCTTGCTCCTCCTCTGATCCCTTTGAATGGGTGTGCAGAGGGGCACCTCTGGTACCTCCAAAACTCATCCTGATACCTCTTCTCTCACCCCTAGCTTGGGGAGAAACCGCCCGGGGGCTCATGAACTGGGGGTTATAAGTAGACGGCACAGACGGGTCGCGCCTTGTCTGCATGAGCCCAGGAGGGAACGGGCTGGGGACCAGGGGCTCAGACTGTCATCCGGCGAGGGGGCCAGAGCCCCGAAGTGCGGAGACGTCACGGGGTTGCAGGCACTTTGAAACGGGCTTCGGTTCCCGGGGCAGAAAGCCTGCGCATCGGGGAAGGCGCGGCCTGCGGGCGCCGCGGGCGGGCAGGGAGCGGGCAGGGAGCGGGCAGGGAGCGGGCGTCGCCTTCTGCGGGCCCGTCACCAGCACCCCGGCAGAGCTTCTCTCGCACCGCGCCGCGGAGGCCGCCTGCCTCCGTGCCAGGGACCTGCGCCCCGCGTTGATCCAGCACCCGGAGACGCCGGCCCGGGAAGCTCCGCGCGCCGGCCGTGCCCGAGCTCGCCCGCCAGGTCGCTTCCAGCGTCTGCCTTTCTCGTTGCTGCGGTGAAACCTCACGGGAACCGTCTGCGAGCCGCCCCTGGGCGCCTTCTCCGCCCGGCCTTGCTGCCGCCTCGGCTCGGCTCGGTAGCGCCTAAGCGTGCTTCCCACGCGGCCGTCTAGCCTGGGAGGAGGCCGCGGGCTGCCCGCCCGGCTCGCCGCAGGCCCCACGCCGCCCCTCCAGAGGCCCTCCGGGTCG